CCAAATCTCCATTCTGCCTTCAGCTAGGCTTTTTAAACTTCAACATATGTGAGAAAACAAATGAAACAAATGGTTCTTGTTTTTGTGTCTGGCTTATTTCACCTAACATACTTTTCTACAACTCCATCAGTTTTTCTGCAAATGATAGACTTTCCCACTTGACTATAGCTGCATGGCGTTCCATTGCAAATATATACTACATTTTCTTTCATCTGTGTATGAACCTCTAGCCTGATTACATATCATAACTACTGTAAACAGTGCTGCAGCAAACGTGAATATCCAAATGTCTCTTGGGTATATTCCTTTCATATGCTTTTGATATATACCCCAAAGTGTGATAACTGGAATATGTGATGGATTTGTTTTAAATTTTTTGAAGAATTTTAATACTATTATGCATAACAGCTGTACCAAGTTACATTACCACCAGTAGTGTATAAGTATTCTTTTGTCTCAAGATCCTTGCAAGAATTTGTTGTTGTTGTTTTTACAGCCATCTATTCTTTTTTTATTTTTAAAGAATACAAAATGGTGATAGGAAAAAAATAGAAATGATACAACATTTCACTAAACAAAGTAATAGGAAATCAACAATGGTTGCTGTATTACATGATGCTATCTTCAAATTAGTTCTTCAGTTTACCATATACAAATATGTAAGATTTGTTTATTTATTTATTTATTTTGTATTTTAGTAAAGGTGTACAGGGTATACAAGGTCTCACAAAGTAGATGGGACTCATAGTGATTCTCCTGTTTTCAGCCTCCCAGGAGCTGGGATTACAGGTGCGTCATCATACCCAGTCTCAATCACCATCTCAGTACAGCCCAGGGGTGAGGCCAACATGGCACGCCTGGGATCGAACCCCTGCTGCTGTACTCTGCCAAGCAGGCACTTTAATCTGCTGAGCTATTTGGCCAGCCCAAGATTTGTTTAAATAGGAAAACAAAACAAAACAATAAAAAAGTAGTTATATGAAATAAAAAGAGGGCAAGATCAGAGTAAAAAAATTTAAGCATTAATTGCTCTTTCAAAAGACCAGCAGAAATTGATGATACAATTATCCAAACTATTCTGCATATATATCTAAATGTATCTTTTTCTCTTCTTTCATTTGTCCTTGTCCTCATCCTCATTTTTCCTTCTCACAGAATAATTTATTTCCCTTTCAGAGTATATGTTGTGCCTTTTGGATTTTCATTACTCTTTCAGGTTCTCACATCAGCAAGACAATATGGTATTTGCACATGTGGATCTGATTTATTTCACTTACCAATATAGTCTCTAGCTGAATCCATAGATCTACAAAAGCCTCTAATTTATCCTTTTATAGCTAAATACTACTCCAATGTGTAAAAAGTACCATATCTTTTTTATCCATTCCTCAGTTGATGGACGTTTGGGTTGTTTCCAAAATTTAGCCATGACACAATTTGCTGCTATAAAGATGAGTGCACATATATCACTGTGGTATGATGATTTCAGTTCTTTTGGAAAAATACCTAGGAGGGGAATAGCTGGCTTGAACGGGACCTCCAATATGAGCTTTTTGAGCAATCTCCATACTGATTTCCATAAAGACTGTGCCAGGCTGCACTCCCACCAACAGTGGGGAAGGGTTCCTTTTTCCCCATGGCTTCTTCAGCATTGGTTATTGGTTGAATTCTTGACGACAGCCATTCTGTCTGGCACAACATGATATCTCAGCATTGTTTTAATTTGCATCTTTTTAATGACCAACAATGCTGAACATTTTTCATATATTTATTTGCCATTTGTATCTCTTCATTTGTGACATGTATATGCATCTCAGATGCCCATTCTTGCATTGGGTCTTTGAATTTTGGAACCATGATTTTTAAAAATTCTTTACATGTTCTAGAGAGGAGTTCTTTGTCTGATGATAGTCTGCTATAGTTGTCTTCTACTTCATGGGTTTTCTTTTTACTCTGTTGGTGATTTCTTTTGATGTGCAGAGACTTTTCAAAAAGATGAGATCCCAATTGTTTCTTTGAAGTATTTCCTGTGCAGTTTGATTTTTGTTTATGAGCTCTCTACCTAGCCTTATGCCCTTAAGGTTTCCACATACTTTCTCTTCAAGAAGATTTATTATTTCACTTTTAATATTTAAGTGTTTGATTCATTTTGACTATAGTTTTGTGCAAGATGGTAGGAATGGGTCTATTTTAAGCCTTTAGCCTGTGGAAAGCAAGTATTTCCAGCACCATTTATTAAAAAGCGCTATCTTTCTTAATGGAGATATCTCATTTTAATTTTGACTTTCATTTCTGTGATAGATAGGGATAGTGAACTTTTTTCTTGTTTTGTTAGCTTTTAATTTTTTTTTTTAAGAAGGATCTATTCAGTTTATTTGTCTATTTTTAAATTGCATCTATTTGCTTTTGGTTTTTGATATCTTTATACATTCTGGGTATCAATATTCTGTCAGCTAAATAGTTAGCAAATATTTAGTTACATTCAATAGGAATTATTTACTCTGTTGATTTCTTTTATGTTCAGAATTTTATTAGTTTTGTGTAATACCACTTGCAAATTTTTGTTTTTATTTCTTGAATTACGGAGTTTCAATTAAAAACCCTCAAACTGTTTTAAGATACTAATATCTTAACCTATTCCATCTACATTTCCTCTTAGTATCAGACTCTCAGATCATGCACTTAGGTTTTTAAGCAATTTTGAGTTGATTTTTATGCAGAATAAAAAAAACGGGGTCAAATTTCCATCTTCTGCATGTAGACATGTAAGTATCTAATTTTCATAGCACTGTTTATTGGGGAGATAGTGCTTTCTCTAATGCATGCTTTTGAGACTTTGAAAACCCATTGGCTGTAGATGGATATTTTTGCAATCTCCATTTCATTCATTTGATATCTGTATCCATTTTTATGCCAATATCATGCTGTTTTCATTAGTATTGCTTCGGATTATCTCTTGAAAATCAGGTATTGTAATGCCTTCAGTTTTGCTTGCTTTGCTAAAAATATCTTTTGCTATTTGGGGTTGTTTTTTTACATCTTTGTAATTTGCTTTTCTTTTTTGCTTGCTCAACCTGTCTTGAGGGCAGGTCTGGCACAGCATGTGGTGCCAGGGATCAAATTGCTGTCCCCTGTGCCTACCTAAGCAGGTGCCTTAGACCACTGAGCTATCTTGCCAGCCCCATCTTTGTAAATAGTTGCATAAAGAATGTCATTGCTATTTTGATGGAGAGTCCATTGAATCTGTAGATCATATCGGGTTGTATGAACAGTTTGACAATACCAATACTTTCAAACCTTGAACACAAGAGGTGTTTCCTTTTCTCAAATCTTTTATTAATTTCTTTTGTGGTGTTGTAATTTTTATCAGAGATAACTTTTGTTGTCTTTTAGTCCTCTACACTTTCGCCACTACTTTTAATAAGATTTATTTCTCTTTTTTTTAATCAGCAACTTCATTATTCTTGTATTAAAAAAGCCACTGATTTTTGTGTGTTGGTTTTCTATCTTGCTATTTTACTGAATTCATTAATTATTTCTAACCATCTTTTGGTGGACTGTATTTAGGCTTCTCTCTCTCATATAGGTGTGTGTGCATTAATATATATTGTACATGAATGACCATATCATCTAAAAAAAAGAAATATTTAAGTTATCTTTGAATGCGTTTTTTTTCTTTCTTTCTTTTTCCTAACTGGTAGGGCTAAGACTTTCCTTTTTCAGTAGGAGTGGTGAAAGTGTATGCCCCTGTCTTCATTCTCATCTTATCAGAAATGCTTTCAGTTCTACTGAACTCAATACAAGGTTGGCTATAGATTTGCCATATACAACTTTTATGATGTTGGTGTGTGATCCTGTTATACATAAATTGTTCAGGGCTTTTCTAATGAAAGGTGATTGTAACTTTTATCAAATCCTTTTTCTGTAAATTTTGAGGTTGTCAGATAATGTTAATTCACTTTTTTGTCCATGTAGTATATTATATCGATCAATTTGGATATGTTTTAACTATTTTTGCATCCCTGTAATAGAAACATCTTGATCATGGTGAATGATCCTTTTAATGTGCTTTGAATTTCATTTGCTAGTTTTTCATTTATTGGAGATTTTTGTGTTTATTTTCCCAAACCTATTTGTCTGTAATTTGCTTTTTAGGTTGGACCATAATGATCTTGGTTCAGAGAGAAAGAGTTCCCACCTTTTAAGTTCATTACTATAGTTTGGAAATAACTAGAATTATTTAAAAGTTGAGTAAAATGTAGTAATGAAGGTGTCCCATCTTGGGCAAGATATTTTAATAGTGATTCAATTTTACTATCTGTTATCAGTCTATTCAGTTTTTTTAATGTCACCAAGGCTAAATTTTGGTAGGACATTTATGTCCAAAATATATCCATTTTAACTAGGTTTTCCAATTTGTTAGTATATGTTTTTCAAAATAATCATCAATGACCTGTTATATTTTTGTGGTGCCATTTGTAATTTCTCCTATTTTACTTCTCATTTTATTTATTTATGTCCTTTTTTTTCTTGCTTGGATTAGGCAAAATTTGTCAGTTTTCTTATATTTTAAATAACTATGTCGTTGGTATTCTGTAAATTTTTTGTCAATTTTTCTCTGTCCCAATATGTATAATTTACTTTACAGTTGCTTGAGATGCATCATTTAAACTTTCTGTCTTTCAGTATAGGCATTTATTTTTATAAAGTTTTATTTTCATATTGCTATTTTTGATTCTTATAAACTTTGTTTTGTTGTAGTTCCATTTTCACTTTTTTAAGGAATTTTTAAATTTTCCCTGTTGATTTCCCTGATGACAGTTATTTATTTTAAAAGGTACTGTTCAAACAGAAACATGGATCAATGGAACAGAATTGAGGATACGGAATCCTCCCCAGACATATTCAACTATTTGACTTTTAATAGAGGGCTCAGGAAGTTCAAGGAGACCCAGGAACACAGCTAAGGGCTCCTTTCCCAGATAAGGGCTGACACTGTCATGGTAGGGATAGTGGAGGTATCCACTCTGAAAGAGCTAAAAGTGGGTGAGGTTAAAGTTAGCTCTGCTGAAAGCTTCCGCCCATCACTACAGTGCTCAGTGTGACAAGGCCAACAAGGAATGCATGCTGTGCCCTTGGGAAGTGAAGGACCTGAGGTAGTGTTTAGAGGAAGGCAAGCTGGTCAGTAAGTGTGCTCTGGCCTTTCTTTAGGCAGATAAAGTGCCACTGTGCAGAACGTTTTACACAGTACCAGGTCTGAATTGATTTTTACTGCCCAGCAGCTGTGTCATAACTGTAGCAAATAGCAAGCAAAGTTTGATGGGTATATGCTGGATAAACTGGGCTAGGTGTGGCCGGACCTGGGAGAACTGTTAAAGGTCACTAAAGCAAAAACATATCAACCATTGCAGGAGAATCCCTGTCACTCATGACCAAGACCTAAGCTCAACCCTGAGATGAAGCACATGTTGGGAAAACTGGAACTCTGTTTATAGAAGGTTGAAATTCGACCCTTATCACTCACTATATACTACATTAAAATCAAAATGGATCATAGATCTAAATATTAAAATAATAGAAATATTCTTTTTCAATTTTTTAAAATGTATTTGGTTGTTACAGGATCTCACAATGCAGCTTGGATTCTTAGTGATCCTCCTGTTTTCAGCCTCCCCAGTACTGAGATTATAGGCATGAGCAACCACACCTGGACCCTGGCCGGCTCAGTGTGCCCTGGGTGCAGGACTGGTGCCACATGTGGTGCCAGGGATCGAACTGCAGTCTCTGTGCTTGCCTACACACAGAGCTATCTTTCCAGCCCTAGAAATATTCAATTAATTGGAAGATAAAGTAGGAAGAACATTTGAAAACATAGATGTAAAAAGGAATTTCCTAAGCAGATCTTCTGTTGCACAAGAAATATAAAAAGAATCAACAAATGAGATTTTTAAAAAATTAAAAAGTTTCTATGCAGCTAAAGAAGAAATCAGTAGAGTGAAGAGGAACCCTAAAGAAAGGGGAAAGGTCTTGGCCAGTTACTCCTCAGTGGAGGACTACCATCTGAACTCAAAAAACTCAGACTACCTAAAATTAAAGACCCAGTCAAGAAATAGGTGAGAGAAATGAACAACACTTCACAGAGGAAAAAAAAATACAAATGGACAATAAATATAAGCAAACATCTTCAATATGTTTGGCCTTTAGAGAAATACAAATTTAAAAAATGCTAAGATTTCATTTTATGCCAGAAAGAATGGTAATAGTAGAGAAATCCAACAATAACAAGTGTTGGCACGGGTGTGGTGAAAAAGGCATCCTCTTCCTCTGTTGGTGGGAGAGTAAACTAACACAACCATTATGGAAACCATTTGCAAACTGTCTTAAATACTTAAATTAGACATTGCATATGAGCCAGCTCTCCCCCTGCTAGGTATCTTCTGGGAAAAAAAGTTTAAGTCATCACACCACTGTGATACATTCACACACCAATGTTTATAGCAGCAAAGAAATATTAGCTAAATATTTGAAGCAGCCTTTGTACCCATCAGCAGATAATTGGATAAAGAACATGTAGTATCTATATATAATGGATTTTTAAATTAATTTTACTGGTAACCAAATAGCAGTGAGACAGTTTCAAAACCGATTAGTAGGACAGTTTCAATAATTAATACATTGCATATTGTTGTGTTCATAGTGGTTATTGATAGTACAAGATGCAGACATGAAAAAAAGATGCAGAAATGATATATTTTCCAAACTATTAGTACAAATCTTTTTTCTCATTGAATTAAGAGAAAGCAGCTGCGTATCTATCCTATTTTGTATATACAGATACAAAATGATCCTTTATTTGTATTCCCTTGTTTTGTTTAGTTTTATCAGAGATGGGTATTTCATTGCCATTTAAATATTGTAGGTGTGTGAATTCAGAAAAATAATAAATATAGTCCTGTAGTCCATAATAGTAGTGTATGTAATGGAATAATACTCAGCTATAAAGAATGACAAACTTAAACAGAGGGCTGGCACAAGCTTAAGCCTAGGGCTGGAACAGCAGGCCTGGGGATGAACCTCCCTGCACCTGCTTGAAGGCACTTTAATCCATTGAGCTATTTAGCTGACCCTATACTTTTAATTTTTAAATTATTTGTTTAAATTATTTGTAGGAAAAAAATTGTAGAAAAATGCATCTAGAAACCACAATGTTGAGTGAAATATTCAGACAAACAAGTTTAAGTACCATATGGTATCTCTTATTAGAGTAAAAAAAAAAAAGAAAATTATAAATGACAGATGGAAAAGGATAAAAGGATCATTTCTCTTGCAATAGAGAAATGATCCAAGAGAACAGGGGCAAGATGTGAGGAAGACAGAAAGGAGAAAAAGAAGATATATGCCATGTATAGTAATCTAATAGTCCCAATTAATGTAAACATTATAGGCCATAAAAGGTGCTACAACAAATAACATCAACAGGAATGAAAAATGGGATAGAAGAACTGGAGGATGAGGTAGGGAAGGGTACAGAGGGAAAGGATATTTAAAAAGGAGAAACTAATGTAATACATATGCATAACCATTCTTCAAGATGATTGTAAATGCGTGAACTAAAAACATGTACATATAAAAAAATTAAAGTGTGTTGTTCATGCTTCCTGAACTTGTGTAATTTTTAAAGTATCTTGCAACCTCTTGATTTATCCTATTGTGATTAGAAAATATACAGGATATAATTTTTATTTTAATTATTTATTGTTTGTTTGTATTTTAGGGAAGGGTCTACAGGGTGTTCAGGGTCTCACTAGTAGATCGGACTCGTAGTGATCCTCCTGTTTATAGCTTCTCAAGATCTGGGATTACATCCCACCACACCCAGTCTCAATTGCCTTCTCAGTGAGCCCTGGGGGCGGGGCTGGACAGCAGGCCTGGGGATGAACCTCCCTGCACCTGCTTGCAGGCGCTTTAACCCGTTGAACTATTTCGCCGGCCCTACACTTTTAATTTTTAAATTATTTGTTGGCAAAATGTCTTTCTGATTCTGTAGGTTTGTTCACAAAGCCCTTATCTGTGCCTATGACTTCAAGAGCTTTATCTATTTTATAATCTAGTAGGTTAAGTGTTTCTATTTTAACATTTATTTATTTGATCCATTTTCATTTAAATGTAGTGCATGTAAAAGGTTTGGGTCTAGACTGAATCTTCTGCATGTGGATATCCAGTTTTTTGAACACTATTTATTATATTTTTTAACTTTTAAAATTTATTTATTTATTTGGCACAGGGTATCACTATATTGCTCAGGCTCATAGTGATCCTCTTGTGTCAGCCTCCCCAGCTCTGGGCTTACAGGCGTGTGTCACCACACCTGGTTGCAGTGGCTGGCATGGTGCCCTGAGGTTGCAGGGGCAGCATGGCATGCAGTACTGGGGATTGAACCCGGTCCTTACACTTGCCAGGCAGACACTTAGACCACCAAGGTATCTCCCCAGACCCCTAACACTATTTATTAGAAAAGCTATCTTTCCTCAGGTCGAGGAATAATGTTTATCATATATGAGGAACTCAATAAAATTCAGTCCCAATAAAAACAAGCTTTTATTCTTCTGATATGTGCACATTTATGTACTCTGAAAAATAAAGACAACTGGAACTAATAAATAATAGAACTGTTTCAGGATATAAAGTTAATACAAAGAATTCAGTTGAATTCTTTTGTGCTGTATCAGGAATGGACAAGAGGAATTCCAAATAAATACACAGTATCTTTGCTATGGATTAGCGTTTACCGTGAAGGCCCATGTATTAAACTTTCGGTCCCCAAGGCTATGTTCACAGAGTGTTCAGCGGACCTTTAGGACATGCGGTGAGGTCGTCAGTCATGAGGGTGTGCACTTAAAAAGGACTGTGGGATCCCAGTCCCATTTCTGCTTTAGTTTGAGATATGACTGCTGCCCTATAGATATTCCAGTCAGGATGTGCCACCATCTACCTTTCTTAACAGAAGTAAGATAATACCTACCCTCTGTCCACCCTGTGCCCATACTCGGACTTTGTCCCTTCAAAACTGTAAACTAAATAAGGCTTTTTTTGTTATAAGAAAATTCATTCCTGAAATAAGAGGCCCAATAAAAAATGGGCAAGTGAAATGAAAAAATAGTTCACAAAGAAGCACAAAAGGTCAAAAAATACATTTAAAAATGCTCAATATCACTGACCTTCAGAGAAATGGAAATTAATACAACATTGATATTCCACCTTACCCCAGAAAAAAGTGGCTGTCATCAAGAGGTCAAACAGCAGCAAATGTTGATAAGCTAAACAGAAAAGATACCGTTCTACAATGTTGGAAGGAGTATCAACTAGTACAACCATTATGGAATCAGTATGGCAATTCATCAAAATACTAAAACTAGAAATCCCATTGCCCCAGGTATTCCCCTTCTAGAAAGAGTTAAAGATATTGTGTTACAGTGATACATGTATTCCCATGTTTATAGAAAGACAATTTATAATAGCTATATCTTATCCCATGGTCTGTTGGGGATCGAACCACCATCCTTGGGTCTGCCTAAGCAGGTGTCTGCTGAGCAGGACATATATGTCCATCAAGAGTTGAATGGATAAAGAAAATGTGCTATTTACACATAATGGAGTCCTACTCTGCTATAAAGAAAGACAAACTTTGTCATTTGTATGAAAATAGACACAATTTGAGATCATCATGTTAAGATAAGTAAATGAAACAGTTTAAATATCACATGATTTTTTCTTTTATGAGAAAAACCAAATTATAACTAAAGAAAGAGTAAAAGATAGGAGGAAGTACACAGATAGATGCTTCTCTAGTGTAAGGGGCATCAAGAGATGAAGGGAGAGGCATGAAAGGGGATGAAAGAAGAAAATAAGTTGTTATGTTCCAACCCCATGCAAGGAATGCAAGCATGTACTACAAACACGTACTAATATAAGTAAGTAGAAGAAAAATTGTATGTGTATTCTACAGATGTTGGCTAGAATGTTCTGTAAATATCTTTTGGGTCTATTTAATGTATACTATAATTTAATTCTGATTTTCTATTCCTGTTTTTGAGAGATCTGTATGATCCTTTCATTGGTAAAACTGAGTTGTCAAAATTGCATCCTGTTGTTGTATTGGAGATGACCAATCCTTTCTATTTAAAAGTGTTATTTTATAAAATTAGGTGTTCCAATATCAGGTGCACATTGATGCAATTGTATATCGTCATATTGAGTAGATTCCTTGATAACTACAGAGAGATCTTTTCTCTCCTCCTATAGCTTTTGTCCAAAAGTCTTTTCAAAATCAGTTACTAAGTAAGTAGCTATTCCTTTTTATGTATTTAGTACAGGGTCTACAGGGTCTCACTACACAGATTGGCCTTGTAGTGCTCCTCCTGCTTTCAGCCTTCCAAGCACTGGGATTACAGGTGTGTGCCAGCATGCCTAGTCTCATTCATGGTCTCAGTGTGCC